TTTCCATTTGCCTCCCAGGTTCTATCCTAAGAGTCTTTGTCTTTGAGAAGACAAAAAAAAAAAAATCCACAAAATCTGATACTCTTTTAAAGTTATTGTCATTACAAATCATAAAGTTGTTTTTTTTTAATTTCCTCTTAAACACTGTACCCACCTTCTTTTGGTTTGGTTTTGCTGTTGCCATCAAAAGGAGAACTCCCGTAACCATTTGGTTTCAGGGCTCTCTAAGTTCTGTTCCGTATGAAGCAGAACTCCCCATGCCACACAGATGGGAAGGTGGAGATACTTGCGCCACAGTCAGCACTTTTGATCATTTATTGTAAACCAGCCCGGTGCTGGTGACCCTGCAGTTCTGTCTGTCTAACGCCTGGACTGACCAGTCCCAGTGCCCCTTCGCATTTTAACCCTTAGATTTTCTACAGGAGAAAAATGAAAATGCACATTCAGTGTCCATTTCATTTTTATCCAGAAAGGAGAAAGGCAGATAAAGTGAAGAGGAGTTGGGAAGTTCTGTGTTTACACCAACAGCTTCTAGATGCTGCTTCAGCCAATTGACTGAATATTTATCGGGATGAGCTAAGTCTTCTGGGTAGCCTGAGGCCGCGCAGGGTCCACGGGCATCTGTGGCGGCAGGTGGTGACTGTGTTAAACGAGGGTGTGCTGAGAATGATGCTCCCCCACTAGCCGTGACTTCGGCTCCGCTAACCAACTTGTAACCAAAAATATTAACCAGAAAGAAATCATTGTTCTGGACAGCATTTCCCTCCTTGCACTTCCTTAGCTCCATTTCTGGTGGAGGGAGGGTTTTCCGTGGTCAGATGACTCAAGTGCAGGCAGCTGGAGGTCAAGAAGGGAGAGCCAGGTGGGCCCACAGACCAGCCCCTTTTCTGGAAGCTTGAAAAAGCCGAAGTTGCCAGCGGGAGGACGATGTTAATGTGCTTCAGAGTCGACCGCCCTGTAAACGTTCATCATTTCGTTATGGTTTCCTCCCTGGAAGGAGCAGGCCCAGGCCATGCTGAGTGGGGCTCCGCCCAGGTCCCCCACACTCCCCAGCCTCTCCCACCACTGGGGTCCCTGCAAGGCCTGCTTAACCGACCCCAGGCCCAGGTGTCTGCTGAGAGCGGATGGGCTGAGCTCTGCAGACACGGGGAGGCGCGGGAGAAGGGGAGACGAGCAGGGGCTTGAGGAATACCGTGTCCTCACGTGCCAAGAGTGACGTGTGCCCTGTCTTCTGTCCTCAGAACAAGGCCGACGTCCTTGGAGGGCTATCCTGTTTACGCAAGCGCGCCCCACGTGAGGCGGGCTGTGAGTTCAGGGTCCCTCCCCGTCCGCTTCCTGAACCAGATGCCAGTGCAGGGTGCAGACAGGTTACTGCGCAGGTGTCTGTGTGACCATGAACTTCCTGTCTCTGCGAGCCGAGGTTTAGGATCACCTCGTGACCTCGTTACCCCAGCTCTTTGCAGCCCCAACAGCTCCACTCCCTGTTTAGGTGTCCACCTGATGGCTTCCACAGAAAAACCCTTCCCTGCCAGGTCAGCCCACAGTCACACTGACCCTCTCACTGCCGCACGCCGTGGCTGTCCCTTCTGCAGCCCCGCACAGGCCTCTGAGCTCTCGGAGATTTGCAACCGTAGCCAGCTTTGCAGACTGTGGTGCCCCAAGGGCCTGACACATCACTAGTGACTGTATAATTGAGGGGCAGAGGGCCCTGGCCACCGCCTGTGTGGCAAGGAGGGTGACAGTGCTCAGCACCACCCCCATCTTAGGTGGTAGGTTACAGGTAAGTCTGTGACTTACTGTCCCTCAAATCTCTGCTCTTCCTCATCTCTACCATCCGCCACCACTCTTCGGGGTTATTTTAACAATAAAAGATGAATTGTGCTGTTTGCCATCCTTGAATTTATTATTGATGTTGCAGCCTCAGGAGAAAAAAAAAAAAAAAAGGACAAATCTGATTGCATCACTCAGTGATTAAAACCTTTTAGTGACTTGTCATTATCCTTAGAAAAATGACTCAGATTCCTAATAAGGTTCAAAAGGCACTGAAAGGTGCCCTTTTTTTTCCCTCTTGAGCCTCATCTCATCATTCTCCCCCTTCCCAACGGGCCCTCTTCTGTTCCCTGTCGTCCTTTGATGGGGGCAAAGCTCCTGCCTCCTACACACAACTTGTATTCTCCACCCCACCCCACCCCTCTTACCTGTGCCCCAGAGTAAGTAGGCAGATACCTCTGCTTTCTCTTTCAGTAAAGGCCCCTCTTGTGGCTCTTGGTATCCCCAACAGGAACTCGCCACATTTCCAGCCACACAGAGCAGAGTCAAGTAAGTGTAACTTCTATAGCTAGAGTCAGGTACCATGCAGGCCCCGGGCCTGACCTTGACCCTGTGCTATTGGGCCAAACCGTGGTGTTTCCTGTGTAAACTGTCTACTCAACACGTGGATGTCACTGTCACCTTGAACAGTCCTTTGTGGGTTTTGGAGGGGGGTGCACTCCAGACCTCTCATGGGTACCCACATGCAAGTTGTGTGGAGTTCCTCATTGAAAGTTCCTCGTCCGTATACTTAAAACCACCTCTAGATTATTGCTAATACCTAACCCAATGTAAATGCTACCTAAACCGTTGTACTGTAAGCTTTAGAGAATTAATGACAAGAAAAAAGTCTGCTCATGTTCAGTACAAACCCCACTGCATCGGGCCCAACCACACAGTCTGAATTCCCACCTGGTCTTGGTTGAATCTGAGGGTGCAGACCCCGATGTACAAAGGGCCCAGGTGTAGAAGTTTCAGAGCTCATGAGGTGAATCAAAAAATTTTACACCAGCATCCTCCAAGGTTTCTACCTCCTTAAAAGTGCCTTGATTCTAAACCATTTTCTTTAGGGAAGACTCTGGATATTAGCCTCATAACGTGACCCTGACGTTAAACTGACCCTTCAAAATCAGGTCAACTTTTTCTTCATTGATTTTATGCAAGAAAACCACACTTTGGGGCTACCGTGAGGAAACACTGATGAACGGATGCCTCCCTCTGGGTTAGACGGGCACATGGGTGAACACAGTTCGCGTGTGATGAGCACTTTTTGCCATTGTCAGCGAGGGAATGAGCCGGCCGTACAATAATCGAAGGTGGTTTAAATTCGAGAATAGCAGCCCTGCCTGGAGCAAGGCCAAGGAGCAGTCCATGGTGGGCTCCACCAGGGTCAGGGCAGAGGGGAGATGTAAAGGATCAGGCAGGGACATAGTCTGAGGTTGTAAGTGGGGACATTTTGGGGCTGGCCACGAAGTCTGTTAGTTTATTATCCTCCATGTGATTGGAGGGTAATGTCCTACCAAAGGTGGCTATGTGGAGGTCCGCTGTCAGGTCCAGCAGGTGTTCTCCTGCTGTGGTGTTGGTTTCCATAGCCTCAGCCGAAGCTCTCAGTGGCCACCACGGGGTCTCAACATGGCCTCTTGTAGACAAGATGGCGCCTGCTCGACTTAACACAAGCTCCACTCCAGGCACCGTGGAAAGCACATTCCATGGACTACACCCCACCTGGCCTTCACAACATCTCCATAAGGTGTGGATGCTGTTAGCATGGAATTTTACAGGGAAGTTCAACTAAGGCTCAGAGAGGTTAAACAATTTCTGCAAGGCCACACAGCCTTCGTGGTGGAGCTGGGATTTGAACTGCCTTCTCCAGCACAGGCCCTCAGTCACCAGGCTGACTGCCTTATCCTCTAAGGTGCTTTGTATCACTAGCAGGTTATGAGACATTTCGTCTAAAACGCGTCTTCCCCTTCCCAGCACCTACCAGCCTATACCTGGTTCATGTTTTAAGCCTTTCAAAATTGTTTTATGTTCAAGATGTAAGTAAAAAGCATGTCATACAAAGTCTCACTCTAGCCTAGCAGCCCTGTAAAACTCTCACTATGTTTTATTTCTTAAACGTTTGCATTTTTATCTTAATACCCCCTTTTTAATATTTAATAGCAGTAACCATAGCGTCTGGCAGGATCAACCAATCAGAGGCGCTGGTGGGAGGTGGGGATGGGGCTGGAGGGGGAGCTGGGCCTTTCTGCCCCTCTTGGCTTCCAGCAGCAGCTGCATCTCCGAGGCTCCAGCAGGCAGACTCACCTTGCCTCCCGCGCCCCCACTGGATGGCCCCAGCCCCTGAACCCCATTCATCGCCTTTTCCCCTCCAGCCTCGGAGAGGTTGTGGTCCTCGGCTTCTTATCTCGGGGCAGCATTTCTGCCCCCTATTTCTGCCCCCGATTAAATTCCCCTGCGCATCTCATGCAGTATTCACCTGCAGTCTGCTTTGGAGGTGAGGAAGCTGGGTGCTGTGAATGGGTTAAAGCCCTCACATTAAAAACATCTGGACCTTAGTGTTCGCTGTGGCATTAGGGGCAGCCCTGGCTGGTGTCAGGTGTCCCTGGCCCTGGTTCTAGCCGGGTTACCAGGGGAACTAGAACCACTCGTGTCAGGACCTTGGTTTCATGGAAAAGAAGGTGCTCCCTGGGGTCCTTTCTGGCCTCCCCACGTGCTGGCTTTAATCCCTTCATAACCAGCACAGTTCCGGGGTTCAATCTCAGCTTCTGGGGGGGGCGACTGAAGGGTCAGGTGACAGTATTTGGGCCCACCTACCGGCCCCCCTGGTTCCCACGTGGTCGGTGGCCTGCGCTGGTTTGGGATCCACTTCACAGGACCCGGCTGGCGTTGGGTGTAGGGCTCAGCTTCCTGACTGTGGGTTTAACGATATTTTAAAGATGCTGTTTTTCAGTTTCACCTTAAATAGAAAACCAAAAGGCAGAATGCACAGATAGCCCTTGTCTGGTGTGATGTTTTCTCTTTCTGTTTTAAGCACAACCTTCTTATACTCGCTAAACACCATTTAAAAAAAAAAAGTCTCCAGCATTTGTGTGTGTGTGCGCGTGTGTGTGTAGATTGGGGGCCAGATACTCTGGGTGTCTTTAATAACCTTCATTTACTAAACCTCCCTCCTCCTCCCCCACCCCCAGCCCTTTCTTTTCAGAAGATACGTTTAGACAATCACCATTCACCTCCAATTCAAAAGACTTGCTGTCCAGCGACTCCGTGCTTCCCGGAAGAATATCAACTCCAGGTATGAAAACGGTGCTGACTCTGCTTCTGCTGTCACTTGCTTAAAGATTCCTCTCCCGCGATGTGTGAATTTGCAGAAACTCTCGGCGTAATGTGTTACAGTTACTCACACAAAGCGAGGTTTTCTGAAAGAGAAACTCAATTGAAGCAGCTACAGATGCTTATGAAAATAAAGTGTAGACAATAAGAAAGCTCTGGGTCTTTGCTGCTCGAGGAACTTGTTGTTTTGGACCTGCTGATGTTTCGTCTGTGTTGTGAATTTTCTTTTTCTTTGAAGTAATGATGTCCAACCCGCAAATGATTTGCTGTACGTGATGTGGGCCAGGAAGGTCTCGGCTGTGGGTGGGGAGAACACGCATCCCCAGAAGGCAGGGTCATGACCCCTGGGGGCAGGGTGGGCTGCCACTGAGACCCCTTTGGGTTCCCTGGAAGCATCACAGCCCATTGGGGTCTTGCCACCAGGATTTGGCCTCTCTTGTTAGAGCATCTACATATATTTATCTAGAGCTCCCTTTTACCATCGCAGCTTCAGAACAGATGTTCTCATCCACTCTCGCTTTCTCATCTCTCCAGAATAAAGAGATGTGTTCGCAGTCCCCTTATCAACAACATGGCCACCCCTCATGACTGTAACCCATTCTGCCTTCCAGCCCCCCAGTCCCACCCCAAAGCCAGTCCTGATGTCCTTGCCTTCCTTCCCGGCTGTCCAGGGAATTCCAGAAGTTCTCAGTGGCCCCCACACCCATGCATTTATCCAGAAGTGTGGTGGGGGCCAAGACTGCATGTGTGCAGGGGGTGCTTATAGCAGGATGGGTGGCTGGAAACCCTGCAAGAGTAAGTCCAGGTGCCTCCCCACCCCCAGGCCCCTATGTCATAGACCATAATGTGTGGGAGCAGAGAGGTTTCCTTTATCACTCCAGCCAGAACCAGGCAGTTCTGTGCGTGAACCAGTGCAGAACCATGGTGGGATGTATTAGGGGACTCATCACAACAGAGCAAGCATGCCATGCAGCTGGCAGTAACAGGGGTGGCCGTGGACCACTAAGACTAGGTCCAGGAGACCACTGGGCTGCAGTCACAGGCGTGGGTGTAAAGTAGGTGAGGGCCATTCTGCAGAGGGAAGGTCTGGGTGGTTTTCACCCAGATCAGGAGCAGGCTTTGGAGACCCCAGGGCACGCAGTCAAATTGACTTAATCCAGCTTCTATAATTATGCTGGTTTTCAAAAGTATATTATCAGGGCCACCCATTAATTTTAATTTGGGCTTATTTCTGGGCCAGCCAGGCTTTGATTTACCCTCGTCTCTGTTTATCAGTGTCTCTGGAAACAAGTGGTTGCTATTTTAATCGATAATGTAAGTCTCTCTGTCTCAGTTGCCCCTACCCACCTCTCCATCGGTCAGGGTCTTGGCAATACTCATAACATGGACTAGAGATCTGAGCACTTTGCAAATCAGAAAGAATCAGGGAGCTTCTGATGAAATGGCATCTTGGGGTGTCCTCGGTCGCTGGAAGGGGCTTGTGACAAATAGTGGGGAAAGGCAGTTCTTTGTCACCCTTTAGTCTCGTGATGGCCGGATCTATTTCTTCTCATCTCCAAAGAGTCTGGGTACCTGCGTGGTCTCTCTATTCAAACGCCATAAATAACGTGCTTACACAAAAACACATTACATAATCCTGGTTCTAGGGGTGGAAAGAAATTCTGCTTAGTTGATGTCTTCATTCTCAAGCAGGGGCTATTTGAACTAGTGTTTACTTCCCACAGTGTCATCTTGAATAGCCGTCTCCCTGGTCCCCACATTATCGCCCTGCTGTTAAGTTGATGGATTGTGACTTTCTAATGTTAAAATAACTGCCTAGGAATTGCCTGTCCGACTGCTGTGACCCACACAGCCAGCGTCCCGTGATGTATATACAAAGCCTGCATTGGCTTAATGCTTGGCCTGGCTGTATTTTAAGAAAGGCTTATTGGTCAAGTTACAGCGCGACCTCAAAGAGTGATATCAGTGTGTTTAACTGTGTTTAAAGGGGGTTTTACTGCAACTTGCTTGTTAGACTTAAAAATTACAGATTAAATAAATCACACTTAAAAGGATAACTTCTTTTGGGGAAGAGGTCAGCATCACTGGGATTTTCAAAATATAAATCCACTCTTTTGAAGGATCCTCAATCTCTGTACTTCAAAAAAAAAAAAGGCAGTGGATAAACAAAATTGACCATATTTACATTTTGCTAAATAAACAACTTCAAAAGGACTTTTTGAAAAAAAAACAAGCAAGGTGAAAATACTTTGGAAAAGGACTTAGAATTAGGAAAGCTAAAGTGATAAGAAACGGTGTGATCGTGAAATTCTATAATCCAAAGGCAAGGGTGGTTAGGAAAGCCTCAGTGATTTGAACTGGTTGGGGAGAATACCAGTGGCGATTAACACAAGATTTCAGTGTGGAGACTTTTCAAGAAAATATTTCTTTCGAGTCTAGAAAGTGATAACTGACAAATATAGACCGTCTACAGCTTCCTTACGCACAACCCTGAAATCAAACAAACTACCAACCAAAAATTTTTGGAATCAGTTCCTGGGTGACAAAACCTGATGGACTACTTCCAGTCTATGTGCCCCATCGAGGGTGAAGGTCATACATCTCGTCGCAGAATACCTATGTGCTGCTGCTGCTGGTCCACTGGAATGTTTCGTAGACTGTGTCTTAGTAGGCTGTTAACCCGAAATCAGGAGAAATGTGAATTCCAAAATACATCTGCCCCCAGGGTCTCAGCAAGCTACGTTTCCTCCAGTTCTCTGCTAAAATGAAGTGCTGAGAGCAAGTACTTAGAAGGTACGGTTGAGGGCTTTAAGGATTTGTATATGAGTCATGGATTCTTCTAGAATGTTTTGGAAGGCCCAGTGGGCAGCAGAGTGCAGAATCATTGGAGAGGACAGGGCAAGAGAGAGGAGCCCAGTGGGATCTGGTCTGGTCTGGGATCAGCATTATTCAGAGGCTGAGCTAGAGGGAACAGGAGGGGAGAGGAGAGGCAGACCAAGGCGAGTTAAAGGGTTTGGGACACTGATTAGCTTTGCTATAAACAGGTTGAATTAGGGAATGATTCAGACCTGGGGAAGCCAGGAAGGAAGACAGCTGGCTTTAGTGACTAGGCAGAAAATAATTTGTTGTTAGTATATAAATAAAAGCCTTGGAGTCCTTAGAAATCTTCTCTCGGATAGTTTAAACGGTACCATTAAAATATTATTTCTCCTCTTTATTTACTTAGCAAACCTCTTCTTTCCACAGATAATGCAAAACTAAATGTCAGCCCAGAGAATCATCTTAGATCCCTGATGAGTGGAGACCATAATTAATGAGGTTTTCTGTGCCTAGTTCCAATCTAAGAAAGTCCGGGCAACTGCTGAACACCCATGGCCTTACTTCAGCAGGGTACATTGAGAGGTACTTACGCACCTTCCAGCAATGGGATAGAGTTCTCTCCCAGAGGCCCTTGGACTCAGACCATGGGGCAATGAAGCCCTGGCAGGTCCAGGACTCTGTGCCTGGGCTGCACCTGTGTTCAAGCCTGCAAGAATGAAGCAGCAGTGTGGGGACTGCAAAGTGGGAGCCATAGGGAGAACGGTGGGCTGAAGAGAGCTCAAGGACAGCACAGTTAGCTGGGCATTGCCTTCAGCAGGTGGGATCTGAGACACAGCCGCCACCATCCCAGAGAGACAGAATAAGCCGAGCACCTCCCAGTGCCCTGACTTGCGTGTTGCCACTCTTTCTAGACTGACTTTCCTGAGAACTGAAGAATACTCTTTCTTCAAGAGCCAAGACCTAACATTTTTATTTGCTGGGAATGGCTGAAGCCAAGGGAACACAACACCAGGAGCCCTTAGTCCATGATGAGTTAAGAGCTGCTGTCACCTTCCGCGGGAGGGATATGGAGACAAAATCTCCTGAAAGCAGTGTCAAGAGACCGAGCCTATTGCTAGAGGTGGTTTTATAAACTGGAGGAGCTTTGGATTAAAGGGGAGCTAGAAATTATAGCCCATGTGTAATTGAATGTGCTTGGTCTAATTTATACTTGTCGCACTCTGTAAGAGATGGACGTGAAGAGAGTGTGTGAGGTTAGCGTGTTTCCGGCACCGGTGACCCTGCGTGAAGGTGGCCCATTACCACGGACCTGGGCTATTTACGTTGCCCATCACCCTTCCCTCAGCCAGGCTGCTAAGGGAAGTTATGTCTTAGTGCTGCTTTTGAACAACGTGGCGCTTCAGTTCTGTTTTATTATGATTTCCAAGTCACTCTGTTTGCTCTGAATGAAGGCAGGAAAACAAAAACACAACCAGAGCGGGTGTGAAGGAAAATGTGGGTCTCCATGGAATTCTTTCAGAGTTTGGAGTCACTGATGCTTCTGTTTGTGACTTCAGACACCGCCTAGAGCTAGACAATACAAAACATATCGGCAATTATGTCTGTAAATCCCCAGCCCCATTTTCTGCTAACTTCCCTTGAAAAGGGCTTTTTGCTGTTGCTGTTGCTTATAATGCACAAACAAGAAGAGAGCACAGGGGAAATTTGGTTCCTTTCAGGACTTGATATGCTAATCAGGACTCAATGTTAAATAAGGCGAGTTTGGAATTGTCTGCCTGGTCCCCAAGCCGAGTCTTGATCCATTTCCCTCTCTCTGTGCTGCCCATCCCTGTAATACAGGTGGGACCATGTCACACACTCTTCTGAAATCTAAATGATGCCACCCGCCGCCAGCTCAGCCTGCCACACCGCTGGCCACGTAGCAATGAGCTCTTGCAAACACAGAGCTTAAAAGATGCATCGTGAGTGTGTGTGTGTGTGTGTGTGTGTGTGTGTGATTTTCCTTTCTATTAAGACTTCCCAAGTCAAGGGAGACAGACAGGCAGAGAGAGACGAGGGGGTTAAAGAGACAGACAGAACTGTCTTGGATTATAGCAACGTGTTTCCTTCAGTCCTATCTTCAAACACAGCAGATTCTTTTTT